CAAAGGTCTCACACCACAGAGCAAGTCCCTCTGGGTTCACGGCTCAGAGACCAACAGGCTGTCACCAAGCGGCAGACGGCAGAGTGGCCCTTCGCGGTTGTTAGTAGTCAAATCCATTTGCTGCACATTCAGACGGGTGGAAGCTGGCCTTTCAGTAGACTTCACGGTACTGCTTGTGGCTGAACACGGATCCCTAAAGTTTCCTGTATGTCATTTTGTACGCACCAACCAGCCAACAAAACACCGGAACAGAAAAGTCGATGTTTATGCCACGAGACATTCTACGATTATTCCCTGAGCCTAAAACATGCAACAGTCCTTTGACTTGGAATGTTATTAACTCACCTGTGATGTTTGAATGAGGACATGTGTCTGATAACCCTAAAACCCTACTTCTAGTCACCAGTTCTACTGCTTCACAGAAAAAATGGGGAGAGAGAGGGCTGTGCTTAAGGAAGTTAAAGTAACTAGAGAAACTAACAAGGCGTATACCTTTTAATTTCACTCCAAGTCTCCCCAAGGGCGGGGATGTACTACAGGTAGTTCATAGGTGATGTTTGGCTGGAACCTGGATTTACAATTCTTAATAGTTTTATTTTATTTCAATGCACACCAGGAAATACACATGGGCACTAAATTAAGGCTGACATTTCACAGATATTATTTAGGGAAATACAGTGATACCTCGGTTCTCGAACATAATTCGTTCCAGGAGGACGGTCGAGAACCAAATTGTTCAAGAACCGAAGCAATGAAACCCAATAGGAAATAATGGAAACTGGATTAATTCGTTCCAAGCCCCAGAAAATGCCTATTTACTGGCCTAATTTGTATATAATATGTAGAAAAACATAAGTCTCAACAAGAAATGAAAGTGTACAGTATGTCTAAGGGTTAAATTCAGTGTAAAGCGTGACCCTCTCCACAAAGCGTGACTCTCTCTCTGCTCTCACACTGATGACGCCAGCAGGGCGCGCTGGGCCGAATGAACGCCATTCGGCTCAACTCGGCTCATCTCAGAAGTTCGAGTTCCAAATATTTGTTCGGATTCCAAGACAAAAGTTTCTCGAATCTCCTGGTCGAATACCGATTTGGTCGAAATCCGAGGCGTTCGAGAACCGAGGTATCACTGTAATAGCTTCTTTAAGACTGAGATGATTTAAATAAAAGTATTAAGCAAATAATAGACCCGCAGGTGGACATCGAATGGCAAAAAGACATTACACTGGTTCTGAAACGGCTGAAGTTTGGGAATAATGGATTAATTTATTCCCGTTAGAGTCTGATGAGGTAGCAAAAACATGATTAAGAGCCATGAATTTGTGTATTTGTTTCATGTTCCCATTTCTACTTTCTCTCCCCAACAGATTGGGTCTCCATGGACTTCAAGAGGCTTCAAGAGGTATAGACAGAGCAGAATATTGTGCTGGTATGTAAAACAAGTCTGCTTATCTTTACAAAGAGTACCTGAGTTCTCTTCGTTAGGAGATACTGTTTTGAATTAAGGATGCGTTTCTCTGTTAATGAATACTATTAAATAGCCAGAACTCTAAGGGGGAAAGTTCTGGAATATTGCACTGTAGATAGTGCCCTCATGTGGCTTCAGGGTTTAGCTACATTTCCAAGTTATGAACCCTCCAACATGGCAGACCGTGGCAAACGAGACATGTGGGAGAAGGACACAGTGAAGACGATGTGACCGATGGCTATCTCCGAGCCCTTGGTTCAGCGGGATGCGTCACCAGCATGGCAGGCAGCACACCAAGTGCTTGGGAAGGATCAGACGTCCACCCCGTACAGGATATCGCTCGTGGTGTGTTCGGTTGAAATGTTAACAAATCACACAGGACATTTTCCGTTTCCGTTTTATTTTTATCAAAACAAAATAATTTAGCCATATAAAGAAGGAAATAAGTTTCAACCTGCAAGAAGCCGATCGCTTCCCTGGTTATGAACAATCGATAGGTAGTAAGTGCCGAACAGTTACTGCACAGGGGAGGTTGAGTCCTCCTCTCGGGCTCCTCTCGGGCTCTGAGGGACAGAGACGGACTGTTTTCCCTGGCCCCTTCTGTCCCACGGTGAGCGTATGCGCAAAGGTTCCTGTACCTCTTCAGATCGAATGATACATGTTCCCACAAAAGTACAAAGCACAGGTAAAGAGAACGGTGCAGCCCTGGCCAGTTTGGCTCGGCGGTGACAGCGTTGGCCTGTGGACCAAAGAGCTGTGGGTTTGATTCCGATCAAGGGCACATACCTCGATTCGGTTCCCTGGCCCTGGATGTTAGTACAGGGCCTGTCATGTGGGAGGCAACCGATAGATGTGTCTCTCTCACATCAATGTTTCGCTCTCTCTCCCTCCCTCCCTCCCTATCTGAAAATTAATAGAAAAAAATCTCTTCGAGGGAGGATTTTTTTAAAAAATGGTGCAGGGAACAAACCTGGCACCCAGTATCCTCTGGGCCCTGACATCGTGCTGAGTGAGTTCTGAAAGATCGGGACGAGCATCGGTGCTCAAGCGTGGCACAGTGTAGTGTTTCCAAAGCCGGAGCACCTCCCTCACAAGAACTACGGGAATCACTGAAATGAGCAAAAACACACACGCCCTTTGCTGCAGTGGTGGGAGTGTGGCCCCAGCCAGACAGGCGTCTTCGCCTCCTCGAATTAAAGTAGGTCTGTGGAGGTGCATGGCCTCCCACACCAGTGACCGTGATGGTTTCCCTGACTATGAAAAGCTCCCACACCAGGACAATTTTGTGCAAAATGCAAATACCTGTGCTGGGGGTGGGGAATGAAGACTGTGGTCATTCCAAGGAACGAAAGGTCAAGGGGAGACCGTGATAGGAGGCGGCAGACCATTCAGCTTCATGCCAAGAGCCGGGTCGCCAGCGTCTCTGCAAGCCTACCCCTCCCGGCGGAGTATCCGAGGGGGCACTGGCTCACCTCGCCCTCACATACCCACCATGCTATGAGCAGGGTTTTGATTCAAATCCAGAGGCACCTGCCCCCGTCTTTGTGTGTACTCCTTGGCAAATGAACCATAGGTTCTGCCGGGTTGTGAGCGAAACGGATGTGGGCTTCATCCAGAATCTCAAAGGTTCCACCTAACAGGATGGATGAGTTGTACTCCATCATGCCTCCAGCTGTCCATCCGAAACCACGTGACTTTGAGAGTCCCTTAACAGGATAGGTTGCCAAGGGGGACATGGGACCTCTTTGCCACTTGCATCTCTAACGGGAGATCCGGACAAGCTTGGGTCCAATGGGAGCATTCAACCCGGTGGTGAGTCCTGAGCATCGTGGGTCATGGTACGACTTTGCCCCAAGAAAACCGCCAAGGATTCAGGGTGCCCCTTGTCATCTTTCACGCAGCACCCCTGGGTGTCTTCTGTGGACGACGTTGAAACACCAGTGGTTCAGACACTAAGTTACAATAAATTAATAGCATGGAGGCGGGGGGTGATCTTAAAGTCTGCTTGGCCCTGTTCTAAGATAGATTAGTTCTCCTTCAGCCAGCGCATGTCACTCACTTGCAGAGTATAAAACTGTAGCAGTGATCAGTCGCTAATTCTGAAATTTTATTTTTAGTAACACAAACTGGGTTATATAGGTCACGGAGGTTATCCTTAAAAAAAAAAAAAATACCTCTAGAAATGCATTCTACTTTAAGAAAACCCATTGGAAATTAAGATTTATAAAAATCAGAGACTGCTGCTTCATAAAAGTATTCTTCACGTCAAAAAAATAATAATAATCTTTAGGATGATTTTCAATAGCCAACTCCTCTAGGGTCATTCAAAATACGTTTTGGGGTTGGTTGGTTGGTTTGAAGACACTGGAAGAAAGCTTTGCACAAATTCCTGTTGCTATAGAGTTAGGTACCCTTTACTTTTCATCAGTCACCTGCTAAGTGACCAGCTGAGATCGGATGCTTTGTCAACCTGCTTGCCTTGTAAGAGAGACACAGGGAGTTGGAGGTGAACTTGACGTTCTGCTATATTTAATCTAGTTGGCATGTGGTCGCCAACAGTGGTGGGGACTAGCCACTGAGGACAATGACTTGCTACCTTAAGCGTGGTGGACCAGATGGCCACTCGGCAGCCACCCAGGAGCAAAGGATCTGGGGGATCACTTTCTCCCCCTGATCAGCGCCTCCCAAGACAAGGTGGCCGGTTCCGCCTACAGACGTGTTGTGTCCCACTCACTCAGTCGTGTTCTGCTTTTGCCTTTAACTTCTGAATTATGAACCAACACTGATAAACTGGGTGAGCGCACCCCCAAATCTGGAACCCTAGGGAAAAATAGGTAGCACCCTTCTGAGCTCGCATTCTTCGTGGAAACAGCTGGTGTAGAACCCCTGCCCCTGGAGACCACCCCAAGTCCACCAAGACCTCCCGTGGGAAGAAGAGGGTGACTCACGCATCCCTCCCGAGGACGGACCCGGACACACGTTCCGCTCGCCTCGCCCAACTTTCTCATTCTCCGTCGGAGAAACTGAGGCACAGAGAGAGGAGGTGCCTTCACCAGGATCTTCCAGTGGCTCAGGGCAGTGTCCAGCCTTGACTCTTCCCCTCTTCGCCCTAAGACCGCTTTCCCAGGCGGCCTCTCCCCCGGGTAGCACAGGCCACGGCAGAGAATTGCTGCGTCACTTTTGTTTGGTTCAGAAAGCACAGGAAGTAAGTACCTGACGTCCTCTCCCCTCCCTTCTCACATTGGCCTCGGCCGGCCGGAAGCCACGTGGGGGTCAGGAGCTCCCAGGAGGTGACCGCAAGCACTGCTGGGTGGACAGGGGAAGCGGCCCCGCATTCAGGTGTTCCATCAGGCCCCCGATAGCCCGGCCGGTGGGGCTCAGTGGCTGAGCGTCGACCCTGCACCAAGAGGTCTCCGGTTCAATTCCCGGTCAGGGCACATGCCCAGGTTGTGGGCCCGATCCCCAGTGGGGGGCGTGCAGGAGGCGGCCAGTTGATGTTCTTTCTCATTGATGTTTCTATCTCTCTCTCCTCTCTAAAATCAATAAATAAAAATTATTTTTTTAAAAAGAACCCCATCCCTGGAAAACCCACATGAAGTTCCTTGAAACGGGCCCATCCTCAGTACCGGGAGTGTCGAAGCGCGTGCCCCGGGAGAGAGGTGCCGTCGCTGCCTTGGACGTGCAAGATGACACGGGGACATCGTTACAACAAATTGAAGCCAAAAGAGCTGAGCTATAAATTTCGGGTTGTACAAAACCATACCAAAAACAAGTATAAAACGTTATCGAAATGCAGCACTGTATGTCCGTAAGTCCTTCCTCCCCCACGTACGGAGAAGGGCAGGAAGGCGGGCGTCCGGGGCTGAGCACTGAGTTGGGGGACGTATCCCAGCTATTTTGTTCTGCGCCGGGTGCACTGGCTTGGAATACGCCGGATTTTCTTTTTCCCTGTGCTGTTCTGACTGGCACAATACAGAGGCTGATTCAATTTGACAGCAAAGTAACACCAAGCCCCCCAAATAAAATTACTGAGATGTACAACAGCGTCAAAACCCCAATTAGTTTTGTATCCTTGAAGCTCTGGGAGGGAACCGAAAGACCCCCATCACGACGAGCAGGCATCGGTTGAAGCTGCAGAGATTACTAAGATGTAACCCTCTAATTGAAATTGCTCAGAGCACACCATGACAGAGAGAACGGAGGGAAATAAGTGAATTTCCCCCCTCCCAATAATGACTCATTCCAGAGTGTTCTGTTAACTTTCCGCGTGACGTTCCTTCGCCAGGGTTGGGGAGAACAAGTTTCAGAGGTCTCGGCAGCAGGAGCGCCAGCCACAAGACGCGCGTGTGTCAGGGAATCACACGCACGCGTCGGCGGTGTGGGCGACACCGACTGATCAGCAGCGTCTCACCGGATCACGCGCACTTGGAAGGATATTTACAGCTTCGGCGAAGGAGGAGGGTCCTTCTGACCAAACTTCAGCTTTTGAATGACTCTGAAGTGCGTCTCCAGAATAAACAGGAGTAACGTGGTGCCCCGTTCATGCCCCGTCCCCCAGTTAACCTGCGGGTGCTCAGCCTCAGTTTACCGACGAGGATGTTGGCTGCCTGGACTCTATGGGGTGCACTTGTCGATAACACGTGGCTGTCGTGGTTGATGCCACGTTAGGGGGAGCAGAGGATGCCCTGGGAGGCAGCCACCGCCGCTGTGTCGCGCATTCTTAGATTTTGCTGCACACCCCCCTTTGCCCCGCCTGGCACCCCATGAACACCAGCGGGGTGGGCCCAGGGGAGCTGGGGAAGGCTGAGGCTGAGCCCCGGGTTTGGATTTGTGGGGGATGTCTTGGAAAAAACCCGAACGGCTTTCCCAACCCTTCGGTGCTTCGTGGCCAGAGCTGGGGGGTCCTGCCGGCCTGGCAGTGTCTCCCGGGGGGGCCTCGCCAGTCTGAGCGGAGACGGCCCCTGGCGCCGGGCGTCAGATCTCTATCACCAGCCGGTCTTCGTCGTCACTGCTGGTGTCGCTGAACTCCACTCGGGTTTGCTTCCTCATTCCTTCCAAACTCCTCCTCTTCGTGGCTTTCGCCGGGGCTTCTGGGACTTCCATGGGCTGCCCCAGCTCAGAGGGGACCGCACCTCGGGGGTATAGCTCAGGGGTAGAGCCTTTGGCTGCAGAGGGGACCGCGCCGTCCTTCAGAGCCACTGATCCAGATTCTTGACATTCCTCACGGTCCTTTCCCAGGGGAGGGCAGGGGACAGGGACTTGCCCACACCCCTGTGGCCCCCCGGGAGGGAAAGGTGACTTGGGCATCCCTTCCTCTTGGGGAGAACTAGCTGGACCTGGTCCCGAAGCTGGTATTTCAAGATGAGCTTTTCTAGGTGACCTCAGTGGGACCGAACCTGGGGGTCTTTGCCCAAGGGAAGGTTTCCCTGGCGACGGTGACGGTGACGTGCCTTGGGCTATGGCTACAGCTTTTCTGTCCAGGGAGCTCTGGGTCTGAGGCCCCCCTGCAACTCTGCCGTGGTCTTGGGGCTCTGCGCCCGGAGTTCCCAGGGCTGTGGGACCTCCTCCCGCCCCCAGGGAAGGACCCACGGCAGACACGGACATAGCGACGTCATGGCCAGGAGACCGTCCTTTGGATTCCGAGGATGACGGTTCTCGAGCATTCGAGAGAGCACATGGTTTGGGATCTACTTGCCCCTGGAAGGGCAGCCGCTGAGTCTCGGGCAGCCCCACGCCGAGACCTTTGCCACACGACAGAGGGCTGTTGCTGGCCTCTTGTATGCAGTGGTCGGCGGGCAGAGACCATCCTGGCCCGACCACGGTGCTCTGAGGATGACCGTCGCCATGCTCACCGGCCGACGGAAGGAGACCCTGTAACAAAGCGCAAAGGAGAGTAATGGGGCGGGAGATGAATCGGAAGACCCTCATGGTCAGAAACACGTCCTCCCGAAAACAAGGTCCCGAGTCTTAAAGGTTCTCTACCGAGGGTGAACATCCACAGCACGTCTCCGTGGGTCCCCGTCAGTAACTAATCGGGGCGAGTCAGGGTCCCTGTCGACACAGTCGGCAGACAGGACTGCCATGCGTGTTACCCAGCCAGTCCCGAGCACACCAAACAGCAGCAGGGGAGGGGGGGCCGTAAATCTGGACAACGGAGAGGCGGAGACCACCCCGTCCCAGTCCCCACCTTCAGGGGCCACGCACGCCTTTCCCTGACCGTCCTGGGACTTGCGCCGGGACAGCTGCCCTCTGCCATTGGTCTTCGGTCCTCCTCCTCCTCCTCCTCGCCAGTCCCACAGCCGCGAGAAGCCGGGGTGGCACGCGGCGGCTCTCCTTGCAGACGTAGCCCTAAAAGCGGGGAAGCACATGTATACGCACCTGACGCCATAAAGTCAGCAAACAGTCACGTCCTAGCAGTTTACCTGCATCTGTGGGACCAGCCCTGAGCTCATGAGCCCTCCTCCCACACGGCGCCGATGGGAAGTCAGCTGACCTTGGACCCATCCCCAAGGTCAAACCTGCTAAGAGGAGGCAAGAAGGGGCAAAACCACTCCCGGAGGCAGAAAGATCCCTCAATTACACCTGTTTTTAAAAAGCTTCCTTGTGCCCTGGCCAGTTTGGCTCCGCGGTTAGAGCATCGGCCCGCGGACCACTGAGTTGCAGGTTCGATTCTGGTCAAGGGCACGCACCTCGGTTGCGGTTCGTCCCTGGCCCCGGTTGGGGTCGTGCGGAGAAGAAGGCAGGCTCGCCCCGCTGTGTCGGGACGTGCTCTCCATGCCCGAGCCTTGCTCGCCAACACGGTTTTCCCTGGCGCTAGTCCTGACTTGGGTTTTTTCTTTTGCTGAGTTTTTTTTTCCAATGGACTTATTACTAAAATTACCCTCCAATCTCTTTCCCAGTGGCCTAAGGTCTCCTTTTCCTAGAAAGAGCTCTCATGAAACGTGAAACTTTCTTTTTTTTTTTTCCTAAAGTTTTTCAAAAAAAAAATTTTTATTGAATGTATCGGGGTGACATTAGTTAATGAAATTAGGTACGTTGCAAGTGTACAATTCTATGATACGTTATCTGTACACTGGATTGTGTGTTCATTACCCACAGTCAAGGCCCCTTCCATCACCATGTGTCCCCACTTTACCCTCTTCCCCTGTGCCCCTCCCTTGGGTCATTGCCGCACAGGCCCCCCTGTGCCCCTCCCTTGGGTCATTGCCGCACAGGCGCCCCTGCGCCCCTCCCTCAGGTCATTGCCGCACAGGCCCCCCCTCTCCCGGCTCAATAAACTGCGTCTGGTGTCCCCCAGCCTCTTGTACCCACTCCAGGACCGAGTCCTGGCATCCTGCTGGGGGGCAGGAAGGGGCCCCACTGTGAGGAGCAGGGGTGGGTGGAGGTGTGGGCTCTCTCGTGCTCCGCCCCACCTGGCACCAGGAGTGCTGGTGTTTTGAGGTCCCCACTGTTACAGCAGGACCAGGCCCTCTTCGGCCACGTCGGTGGCTCTCGGCCCCTGGGGTGCGGTCCCCACAACTGTGGCCTCAGTTTCCCTGTCAGGGTTCCTGGGGGCCGGCACCTCACAAACACATTTCTGACGAAATCCTCTGACGAACTCCTCAGAGGAGAGTGGAGGTAAACGAAGGTGTTTCGTCCTCCATCGTGAACCAAAAGGACAGACCTGTTTGTTTGTTTGTTTGTTTGTTTCTTTCTTTTGTTTTGTTCATCTTCACCCGGGGAGGTTTTTCCATTGATTTTTAGAGAGAGGAGAGGGAGGGAGGGAGCGAGAGCAACGTCGATGTGAGAGAGACACATTGATGGGTTGCCTCTTGCACGACCCCAACCAGGTCCCAGCATCGAACCTGCAACCCGGGCACCTGGCCTTGACCGGGAGGGCATCCAACCTGCAACCCCGAGGTCCGTGGGCCATTGCCCCAACAGCGGAACTGGCATGGCCAGACCTACTTCTTCCATCTCAGGGAGCTTCCCAAACCAGCTCTGAGAACCCCCAGAAAAGTGCGGGGTCCGGGAACAATGCCTGTCCCTCCCCCCGTCTCCCAGGCACCTGTGTGTCGGGATGTCCAATGACAGAGCCAGGCCTTCGGCATCCGCCCACCGGCTCACACCCCCCGGTCCCTTCCGTGACCCCGACAGGACGCTTAGCCCTGAGCATGGAGACCCCCAGAGGTGCCCTCAGGAGCGCCTGTCCAGCGGCAGAGGACAGACCGAGCACCGGCAGACAGCTCGGGTTGGACGGGGGTCACGGAGGAAACAAACCTCAGACAGTAACGAAGAAGAAGAGGCTACGATGGAGACTGTGACAACAAACGGGAAGAGAGCACTACAGAGGGTCATGATCACAGTGCCACAGCAGAGCAACACCGCATCACAGAGAGGGGTGAGGGGGGTGACCGTTCCCTCGACAGAGAAGGCCTCTCCGAGAAGGTGACGCCTGAAGGGGACCCGAGGTCTGGAGGTTGAGGAGAACCCCACACAAAGCCATCCCAGACAAGGGAGGAGCAGGTGCCAGGGCCCTGGGGCGGGAGGAGCTTGGGGACTAGGGACCTCATGAGAAGCCATCATGGAAGGAGGGTGCTGAGCGGGGCAGGGCCCGAGGAAGGTGGGGAGCCCCGGGCTCAGACCTCACAGGGTGTGGGCAGGCGCTGGGGAAGGGTTTAGGTCTTGGTCAGTGGGAAGAAACTGCGTTTTCAGTGGGGTCCCACGCCTTCCGAAGACGCAGGCTGCTGCTATTCGGAGACCAGGTTTCCGGAAAGAGGGGTAGAGGCGGGGAAACCAGTCCCAAGGTTCCCGGGGTGGTCTGGGCCAGACGACATGGCCTGGCTGGGGCGGCGGAAGTCGAGTGAGTGAAAGCGGACGGGTCGAGGGCATTTCCACCGCCACCCTTGAAACATCACCAGAAGCTGGTGATGGTGATAAACGTGTCCACAGCCCCACGGTTTGCCAGACGCCTCTTCGCCTTCTAAGTGGATTGAGCTGAGCCCCCAGGGTGACAACACAACCAGACAATTCATTCAATTCCGCCGGGTAAAACCGATTAGGGTGGAGGAGAAAATCAGATCGGCCCGATGTCTCCTCGACAGGTTGTTTGGGTTCCTCAGCCCCACGGAAAGGTCACGCGCCCGTCGGGCCGATAGCTGCTGACTCACCGGGGGAAGCGGGGGAGCAGACTCGCCCACCCCAGCTGCCCCCAGCCTGCCGCCCCCGAGAACAGTGAGTTATCTGTGACGGTTGCGGGAGACAGTGCCCACACAACGTCCCTGCGGCGTGGTAAACAAATCTGGGTGATTGGAGAACGATGCCCACTTGCTTTTCGGAGAATGGCCCTTCCCGAGAAGCCGGTCTCGCCCCGGCCACACGTTCAGGCACCTGGGTTTGTGCAGCGCATAGGACCCTTCCCGCCTCTCAGAAGTCCCGGGTTCCTGCACCACGCCCCACCTTCAGGGTCCCAGTGTGCACGCCACGCGATCCCTCCCCGCCCCCCACCCAGCTCAGCGGCTGCCCTCCCTGATCAAAGCTGCGTTTTCAATAGTTTTGCTCAGGAATCATTGCCCAACCGCGTCTGGAGAGGAAGAGACTGCTCAACGCACAGTACCATGTTTCATCTGGAAAAGGCTTCGGCGGTTCTCACCCTGTGGGTCGCGACCCCTTGAGGGTCGAACGACCCTTTCACAGGGGTCGCCTAAGACGTAACAGTGGCAAAATTACAGTTACGAAGTAGCAACGAAAATAACTTGATGGTTGGGGGTCAGCACAACACGAGGAGCTGGATGAAAGGGTCGCGGCATCAGGAAGGTTGAGAACCGCTGGCCTAGAAGAAACTGACACAACTAGAAAGGGAACGGTCAAGAGACACCACTGAGGAGCTTCCGCCGTGGCTTAGACAAACCCGCTGCCCGCTGTCTAATTCTCGGGCCTGATTAACATGCTAATAGACAACATGACTCTAATATCATTCTCTGAAAATGTAAGTAATTCGATACATTCCTTTCAGTTACCCCAATACACCGAGAACCCCGTTGATCTGCAGGCCAGAGACCGAGTTACAAGGATAAACACGTGTCCACGCGATCGGCCCCGAAACACGTGGCACGTCTAATCTAAACAAGGACGCGGGCGTCATCTCCTATCAGCTGACGGGAGAGTAAATTGTTTAGAAGCATCCCTGACATGTAATTTGCAATTATTCAAGGAGAGGTGAGCAGAACTCCGCAAACCATGACTGTGTGGGCAGTGACTGGCTCGTGTATTCAAACGTTTGTCAAGCCCGTCTTTGTTCTGAACCCGTATTTTTTGGAGCCCGTATAACGGCACGTAAATACTTCTTGAGACCATGCTTGCTGAGGGCTCAGCACAGCCGATGCTCTGGGCTGAGACCTGTGCTGAGCGTGGCCACATGTTCGGGGCAAACAACACAGACACGCATGGAAGTTACAGTCCGATGGGGGAGAGGTTCAGTCCTCAAATCACTGCGCAAAAATGCCCGGCCGGTGTGGCTCAGTGGTTGACATCGACCCTGCACCAAGAGGTCGCCGGTGCAATTCCCGGTCAGGGCACATGCCCAGGTTGTGGGCCCATCCCCAGTGGGGGGCATGCAGGAGGGGGCCAGTCGATGTTCTCTCTCATCGATGCTTCTATCTCTCTCTCCTTCTCCCTTCCTCTCTCTCTAAAATCAATTTTAAAAAAAAACAACTAATTATTATTATTTAAAAAATAATAATAATTGCGCAAACATGTCACCGAGCAAATGTAGTAAATAAAAGGCAACGGGCACCCTGAGATGGTGACACTGGGCCGACCCCACCTGCGCCGACGGACGCATGTCCAACCACGCACACCGTGAACGCATCCCGACGGTGCCCCTGCTCGCTGGTTTTCTCTCTGACAGGCCGAATCATTCATCCGTGTCGTTATCCAAGCAGCATCTCTTCCGGTGTCTGCATGCCGGACATCCCACTGGCCGTCCGAAAGGGAATTCGTTGTTTCGACCGTCCCACCACCATTTGCGTTTCCAGAGCTTCTGCAGAAGAAAACGTTTGCCGGCAAAGGACGGAGGGAAGAGGCGTCATCCCTGTCCGGCGGGGGCTGGGGGTCACCGATTCCAATCAGGAGGTGATGGTCGGTGGGTGGCCTCCGGCATCAGTTCCACAGGCGGAGGGGGACTCGAGAGGGGACCCGAAAAATACGTCTACCGAGGACAGCTTCAGGTGGTTCTCCACGGTCCTAAGACTCTGCCTCCCAGTGATCGGACACACCTTTTATTCAGAAACCAGTCTTCCTCGTGGTTTTCGTCTCCTCTCTATTTTTTTGTTTGTTTTCTTGTTTATTTTTGTTTATTTATTTATTTT